GAGGCAGGAGACTCGCTTGAGCCCAGGAGTTGGAGGTTGCTGTGAGCTGTGATGCCACAGCACTCTACCTAGGGGGACAGCTTGAGGCTCTGTCTCAGAAAAAAAAAAAGAAAGAAATTTATAGGAATGCTGAACTCAAAATTCAGGATAATAGTCACTTGCAGGAGGAGGCAGGGGAAGAAGTTAAAACAGAGGTTCACAAACTATGGCCCACTGGCCAATGTCAGCCCACCACTTGATTCCATATGGTCCAAAAGCTAATAATAGTTTTCATTTTAAATAAATAATGAAGAAAAAACGAAAGGAAGAATATTTTATAGCACATGAAAATCATGAAGTTCTAATTTCAGTGTTCATAAATAGTTTTATCAAACATACCCATGCTCTGATTACATGTTGTCTATAGCTGCTTTTATGTTACAATGCAGAGTTGAGTGTTTATGACAGAGACTTTATGGCTTGGCAAAGCCATAAATATTTACTATTTGGTCCTCAACAGAAAAACAGTTGCCAGTCCTTGAATTATGGAAGAGTATGTAAACTATGTACATATTTGTACAAGAGTATGTAAGTATTATTTTGCTTCACAATTAACATATATATCACCTATATTCTTTTCTACTTATCAAACATTATTTTGGAAGAATAAAGACATAATTTTAAAGAAGATTTGGAAAAAATGTTTTCAAAATAAATGACTTAGTGTTGAAGAATTAATTTACATACAAGATACTCTGTAACAAGGAACAAAAACTAGTTAACAGGTCAAAACTAGCCAGTTGCCTTATTTCCAAAATTAAGCTTGATTAGAGCACAGCCATATCCACTTGTTCAGTCTTTCACTACCACAGCAGAGTTGAGTAGCTGCATAACATACCAAATTGTCTAAAAGCTTAAAATATTAATACTTACTTTTTGGTCTTTTACAGAAAAGATTTGGCTATCCCTGTTATAAATATAATTATTTAACTTTAATTAAAGCAAGCAATAATATGTAATTTTAAAAGATAACAAATCTTTTAGTAAAATGGCTAAAAGCAAAAGCTCAAAAATCAGAGACATGGGCTTAAATCCTGCTTCTGAGCACACTATGTGAGCGTGGGTCAAGTACCAATGAGCAGATTTTAGGTTCTTGATTTTTTTTTTTTTGAGACAGAGCCTCAAGCTATCCCCCTGGGTAGAGTGCCATGGCATCACGCTCACAGCAACCTCCAACTTCTGGGCTCAAGCGAATCTCCTGCCTCAGCCTCCCAAGTAGCTGGGACCACGGACGCCCGCCACAACGCCTGGCCATTTTTTGGTTGCAGCCATCATTGTTGTTTGGTGGGCCCGGGCTGGGGATTCGAACCTGCCACCTGAGGTGTATGTGGCTGGCGCCTTAGCCGCTTGAGCCACAGGGGCCGAGCCGGTTCTTGATTTTTATATATCTCAAAACTTTGGTAATGACCCATGGACAACTTTATTTTTTCTTAAGAGACAGGGCCCTGCTCTGGCTGGAGTACAATGGCATGATCACAGCTCACTGCAATCTTGAACTCTTTTTTTTTTTTCTTTTTTTTTTTATTGAACGGTAACTATGTACATTAATGCACTTCTAGGGTACACAATCTTGAACTCTTGACTCAAGTGATCCTCCTGCTTCAGTCTCCCAAGTAAGCTGAAACTACAGATGTGCACCATCATGTTCAACTAGTTTTTAAAAAGTGTTTTGTAAAGACAGTGTCTCACTATATTGCCCAGGCTGGTCTCAAACTTCTGGCCTCAAGTGAACCTCTAGCATGGGTGTCCCAAGGTGTTGGTAATGCAAAAGTGAGCCACTGCATCAGGCCCAAGGCAAAGGACTTTATACTCTGCAAATGATTTTTGAGTACCCTTATTTCCTACTATTATGCATAAATTGTCAGATTATAGCTCTTTTTATTTGTACTTACCTTATTCCAGACCTTCACTTGGAATATCAATAAACACAAAATCTCAAACAAACAAAAAAATCATACCACATGGCCTTCGGCTCGAGCTTTGTTCTGCAAAGCCTCCCGTTTTCGCTGCAGGAACTCTTCCACTTGTTTAGCTCTTTCTAGAGCTAGCTGACCCTTTTGCCTAATTTAGACAAATTGCAAAGTTAGCAATTCTGAATATTAAATATTCCAAAAAGTTAAAAATGTTACTTAATTACTTGTTTCCATTGCAGAATATAAAGAAAGGCTGACATGAAATAAAATAATGAAGAAATCTCTACATATATATTGATATCTACTACCTAAATCACATCCTCTACTGTTTTATTTTATTTTTTTTTGAGACAGAGTCTCAAGCTGTTGCCCTGGGTAGAATGCCATGGCATCATAGCTCATAGCAACCGCTAACTCTTGGGCTTAAGCAAAGAGTTGCTTTAAAAAAAAAAACCTCTTGCCTCAGTTTTTCTATTTTTAATAGAGACGGGGGGTCTCACTTTTGCTCAGGCTGGTCTCAAACTCATGAGCTCAAGCAATCCACCTACCTCAGCCTCCCAGAGTGCTAGGATTATAAGCGTGAGCCACCGTACCCAGTCCCTTTACTATTTTAAATAAAAGTAAAATCTATAAATTATTTTAGACTATACTTATAGAAAAATCTCAATAGTTTCCAAGTTTATTTCAGAACTCCGTATCAAATATAATCAGAATCTTCTTTAATCAGTACTGAAGTCAAAGAAAGTAGTATAATAGCAATTTCAAAAATGAACAAAAAGAATGAAAGGTTTTCACTTAAGCATGAGTTTTCACAAACACAGTAAAAAGTTATGTCTGAATTCTCTGAATGTCACAGCTATTAAAAAATGAAACGGATCAGTTAGGAAAAAGATTAAAAGTAAAGTTATGTGTTTTAATCTTTTCCAATTTTACTATCTGTATCTTTCTCTGACAATTATGAAGGAATGTGAGCATGTTGAGCTTAAATTACAAATAAAAAATATCAATAATAAACATGTATTGGGCATCTACTGTATACCACAGTTACCATGCTAATTTTGAAAGATACAAAAATAAGGGCAGTGCCTCTGGCTCAGTGAGTAGGGTGCTGGCCCCATATACTGAGGGTGGCCGGTTCAAACCCGGCCCTGGCCAAACTGCAACAAAAAAATAGCTGGGCATTGTGGCGGGCACCTGTGGTCCCAGCTACTCAGGAGGCTGAGGCAAAAGAATCGCCTAAGCCCAGGAGTTGGAGGTTGCTGTGAGCTG